TGAGGCGCCGCCGGGACCGGGCACACCAACACAGCCGCAGCGCCGAATCGCAGCTGATCATTTCTCCTCCACACGAAAACCCTGCTCTAGCCCTCTGGCGCTGAACTGTCACCACGCCAACAAGAATTCTGTGACAAACCTGACCTTGCACCTGGCTGAACATGAGTCCGTGTGTGCCCAGGTGGCCAAGAAGGCCAATGGCATCCTGGCCTGTATCTGCAATAAGGTGGCCAGCAGGAGCAGGGCAGGGATTGTCCCCCTGTACTGGGCACGGGTGAGGGCACACTTTGAGTGCTGTGTCCAATTCTGGCCCTCGCTGCAAGAAGGGCATTGCAGTCCAGAGAAGGGCAACAGAGCTGGAGAATGCTCTGGGGCACAAATCTGATGAGAAGCAGCTGAGGGGAGCTGTTTATCCTGTAGAAAAGGAAGCTCAGGGGAGATCTTGTCACTTCCTACAACTTCCTGAAAGGAGGCTGTAGCCAGGTGGAGCTCAGCCTCTTCTCTCAAGTAACAACAGGACAGAATGAGAGGACATTGCACCAGAGGAGTTTATGATGAATATTAGGAAAGTTTCTTCCCCAAAAGGGTAGTCTACCATTGAAAAAGGATGCCCAGAGTAGGATTACCATCCCTGGAAGCATTCAAAAAATGTGCAAATGTGATGCTTAGGGAGATATTTTCTTGGTGGACCTGGCAGTGTTAGTTTTATAGTTGTAACCAAGGGCCTTGGAGGTCTTCTCCAGACTTAATGATTCTATACTGGGTTGTCCCATCTCTTTTGTCTGTAAGACAACTTCTTTCTCAAAAAGGTCAAGAGCAAATAATTTCCTGGGATCAGAAAATCAGTCAAAAAAAAGTACCTCACCTTTAAATGGGAGCTGTGGAAAAACCAAGCAGCCCCTTCTGGTGCACACCAAAGACAGTCCTTTCTCACAAGGGTAACTCACTGTTTCCAGGAGGCATCTAGAACACACTGGCACTGTGAGGGCACCAAGCCTTTGTGCTAATAACAGCAATGTTCTAAACATAGAAAGCCTGAATTCCTGTCAAGGAAATCAGTTTTCATCTTAGCAAAAGAAAAGGCGAGTTTCCTGCTTGGTATGGGAAAAGTTCCCAATTATGCTGCTGTCAGGCAAGCCTGGAGGTTTTACCTAGGTACAAAGTCAGAGAACTGCTTTCTTCCCAGGTATAGCAGAACTAAACTGTTGAACTGAATGTTGAACTGAAAAGTTACTGGTTTGTGCCTGGGTTTAAATGACTGTTTTGGAATGCATCTGTTGATGTGATGCAATATGGTTTTAAAGTGCATGTGTTGATGTTGATATGGCAAACATCTGGACCTTCTCTGTCTCTCTGTCCATAAACTGTGCAGGTTTGCCCTCACAGCAGACGACCCAGGCACCCAGCTGTAAATCCACCTACCTGAGTCAGATGGCCTTGAGATCTGATGTGGCACTTCTAATTGCCCCTGTGCTGTGGCTGGCTGCAGAGCCACATTGGACCTGTTTGTAGATGAAAAAAGCTTTATTTAGTGAATTTGAAAAGGTGCTCAATTTCAAATTGAATCACGGCAATGTCTAAAAGTTCTGATGGTAATCCCACTTCATCTCCTAGTAAAAAATGTTCTACAAAACCAAGATGCCTTATCATGGTAAATATAAACCAGAAACCATACTCAGTAACCAAAAACCCAGTTCTCATTGCGGATGACTTGGGCAAATAATTATTTTAGGATAAAGTTTTGGAAGAAATAAAAAGTATCTTTTTTTCAAAGAACAGACAGCAAATGAAAATTAATGTTGCCTACATAAGGCCATGTTGGTTCCCCTTCTGAAGACGGAACCTTTTTCCACTTATATGGCAGTGAGTTAGGGATAACTCCACTGAAATTAGTAGTCATAATAGTGCAGAAGCAGACTGAGGGAAAAATAAGGTTCTTTTAAAGTCTCCTTGAGTGTTACTAATGGTGGCAGTAGCTGCAAATGTCACTCTTAGCTCCTATTTTCACTTTCAAATTTGTCAGTAGTGTCTTGGTTAAAATCGTACAGTTCTGTAGCTGAGGTATGGATTAATTTAAAATTATTAGGATTAGAAGTGGTGCAAAACCAGAACCTCAGATCTGATCCTCTTTGAATTTCTATGGAAAGGAGTTTAGATTTAAATCCCCAGATGTGAACCCGCTTGCATGTTTAATTCTGGGTCAGTAGAAGTCTAAATTCCTCATCTGGTTTTGTGTGGGTGTAATCCTGCAGGAGCATTTGATTGTGGGATTTTGTGGAGTTTATGAATGAAAGTGAAATAAAAGAAACATTTCATGACTGGTGATGTGACTAGTTTCCTATTCAAAGATGAGAGGAAATAAAAGACAATTACTACACTGGTTTTTATAATTTGTTGGGAATACAAGACACAGGAGGAAAAGTGGAATAAGGTTTCTATAAAGTCAGCACAATGGAACTTCATTTTTTGTTAGTTTCAGTCATTATTATAAAAAACATGAATAATATTGAAATAGGAAGTCAGAGTTTTGAGGGCTCATGGCTTTAGCTGTCACCATTCAAATCTAAACAAAATATCAGCATAAATTAATTTCAATTCTATTACTTTACCCAAGCCCAGAATTTGGCCTACTATGGAATGGTGCATTTAATTCAGCTGGAGAAGATAAAGAGTCCAGGGTCTTTAATTAGTTTACACTGGAAAAAGCATCTGGTCTGCTGACCAAGGAGGAGTATTCTGGGCACAAAAGTATTATCTTGTGTAAGATACAGTTACTATGCTTTGCATGTCAGCTGGCCCTAAATTACTACACCCTTATTCAGCTTTTCCTTTGTACATGTAGAATTGCATTTATAAGAAGTGAAGTTGGAGATAGCTTAGTCAATACTGTAATTAATTTGTGTGATTCTGCAAGAACATCTCTGTTGTGTGGTGGGTAAAATTATTGTGCATTCTCTTTTTCACAATTTTGGAAATGTGTATTTTCTCCTTGGTGGGCTAAAGCGCATCTAGAAGCATTCCTTTCCCTCACTCCATCTCCCATCACTGACTAAAAACATTGCCATTATCCTGGAGCAGGAAGAATATTGGGTTGGATCAGCCATTTCACTGCCTGTGTGTGTCTGTGAGATAAGTACACAGTATTCAGCCTTTGAAAAGATCTTCTTCCAAGTAGCTTCTGTCAGTGTCTCTGTGCCTTTCATTTATTAGCTCGCACATGTGACACGTATGTCTAAAAGCCAATGTGCTGTATTAGGGCTCAATCCCACACCACTGACGTCACGGAGAGTTTTATCAATTACTTTAATGAGCATAGGATTAGGCCTTTGTGATTACACAAAGAACCAATTATTGGATTTTTCTATGAACCCACATTAAAACCTTCTTACAAATGTGACTTGCAGGGTAGGAATCAGAGAAAACAATCTCTACTTCAGTACTAAGCATACAGTATTTAGGTTTGCAATGCAGTGCATTGGCAGAAACAGATACGTTCTGCCCTCTACTCCATCTCCCAGTAATAAGCCACTGCATGGTTTAATCTCTTCCTAGGCATGTCTTGCCTAAGGATCCAGTATTTTTGGTCTGTATTAAAAAAGGCTTCTAGCATCTTGTAGAGTGAGACACTCCCCCCAACATATTTTGTTTGACAGATGATCTTCCCATAATTCCACTGTCAAACAAGACAGCAAACAATTTTAAAACAATAACAATAACAAACAAACAAAACCAAACAAAAAACCCCAAACCAAACAAAAAAAAATAACCAAATCTAAGCTAGAAAAAGGCCTGAGCCTGTGATTTATTTGTCTTGGTTTCATTCACAGTCTTGCAAGTATGCCAGCTGTGTTGTAATGACCTGGCCTACATTTTGCTGCAGATCTTTTTCTTTTCCTTTTGCTCCTAATCATTATTTATTATCTGATATTATTATCAATCCCTTCTTGTACAGCACCAAAGAGAGCAAGTACATCCTCCAAGCCTCATGATCCTTAATATCTGAAGTTCAAAGAGTGCCTGATTCCATTTCAACTTTCTGAAATCCATTAATCCACAGTGCAGGTGAATGTAATTTTCATGTAACTATGGTCTCTGCATCAGTAACTAATGCTTAAAATCAGAAACACTGAAAGGGAACGGCTGCCTCTCAGGCACAACTTGTGATGGAGTTGATGTAGAGGTAATGTTTTTTCCTTTACCATAAATTCACCCTGCATTTCACTATGTTCTTGCACATCCACATAAAAAGATGGTTATAATAATTACTGCTTTTGTCTTGTGTTTGGAAGTGCTCTGCACAAGGCAGATAGAAGCTGCATCATGTTTTCTTAGAATAAAAGTTTATAGTATTATTACGCTGGAGTGATTGGAACTGAACCTTCCTGGGATGAGTTATTTTTATTTATTGGCAGGATTAGAAAATACTATTTACAAGTTATAAAATTCACTAAAAGATGCGGTAACAATCTCACTGTATGACACATACAAACTAGAAATAGTGTTGTGTTCAACCTGGCAAAATACGGATTCCTAGAACATCCATTCTCTTGTGCGGGAACATATAGATCTTATTTTAAGCTGAGGAAATATTAAATAAAAAGGGTTTTATATGTGGAGTCATTAGGATTCAGTGCAAAGCTCCAGAGTAATCTCATGAAAGCAGTGGTATGATCTAGGGGAGACACAGTGGCTTAGGAATCAGCAAGCTTGTGTTTCATTCCTAGCTATCTGTCTCACTTGATAGTTCTGGCCTCTTCATCTCAGCGCTTAGTAATGCCATTTTTCACTTGTTGGCTGTCTTCACTATTTAAACTGTAAAATTGCTGTGACTGGCATTATTCTTTGGTGCACATTTTTAAGGCTCTTACTGCAGTGGAGCTCTGTGGAGTACATCAGGCATTTTTAGATCTGTTCTACCACAAAAATAAAAGAGTCTCCTCTTTACTGGACAAAAGGAACAACATGACGATGTCAGAAAAATACAGGAAGGAAACTCATACCTGAATTTCTGATACAAATCTTAAATAGAACAAAGTTTTCTTTATTAAACTAATAGGTGATTCTAATGGAGGAATTAGACAGAAATTATTCATTAAGTGAATATAGCCAATTTATCACAGCTCAGAATATCTATAAGCCTATTTGTGCTTTTCTCTAGCTGCTGAAATATATTAGTTAGGTTTACACCTTTTGTTCATCTATGGGTCAATGACAAATTAGCCCAAATGAAAAATAAACCCAAATAATTTGTTTGGCTGCAAGAGATCAGATAGGATTCCTGACACCATCTCAGTTCTTTTCTCCAGCAAGCCCACCAGCCCCTCTGGTGTCAGTATGCTGTCCTTCACAAACAAAATCTGATGCCCTGAAACACTTCAAGTTGCAATTGAAGAATTACTGTTGTATTTCTTTTCCAAAAGTAGTTTCATGTAGCAAATTTGGATCAAATACAAAAATGAGGCAGAAATGCAGCTGGAGGTGATTGACTTGGGACTGTAACTATTCAAACAAAAACATTCTTCATTGTTTTGATACCTCTAGATTTAAGTTAGCAATTTCATAAAATGTTGGCTGAAGAACTTGTTCTATTGACAAATTAATAGAGTTACTTGTGTTCTCCTGTGCTTTAATGATTTCTTCTTCTCTTTAATTTTTAACTTTCTGTTTATTTGTTTGTTTTCTTTTTTCCTTTGATTATATCAGTTTATTTTTTATTTTGGTGTTCTTGCAATTTCCTTCATAACATCTATTTGTGAATTTATAAATTTTAGCATTCATCTCTGGTCTTAAGACATCATTGTTTTTTAGAAGGAGGGCTAGATCTACTTGTGCTTTTAGCTGCTTTGTGCTGTTCAGCTGATGCAAAGCATCTATAAAGCCATTTTAATCAGTTAAGCCTGATTTATGATAATGAGAACTTGGCTTCTATGCTTCTTTTCTTGTTTCCCTTCTTTTTAGTATTCTTTTTTCTGTTTTTCTTGAGAAGATTCCCTTATTCTTCCATAAAATGTAGCCAAGTAGTTAAAGAGTATTCATGAGCTGGAAATAATTTCACAGTTAATCAATAATGTATTCAATTAATATTTCTCCTCATTACTCAAACATACCAATTGCTACTGTATTCTTTTCTCTAAGGTTCTCTTGTCATATTCCACAAATTATTTTCTTACCTCCTTTCACAAAAATCATTTTCTCTTTAAAACCACTAATGTAAAAGCAAAAACTATCCCAATAATCTCAATCCTAGTAAGTCAATATAGATACTCTATTTGCCAAATTAACAACTGATTTCTTACTCCTTGCAGTATAAAAATACTTATGGCAGAAATCTTTCCTTCCTATTTAAAAGCCAGTGCTAGCTAAATCCAGATCCCAAAGTCCCAGTGGAAGCCAGGCAGTGCACCTCTGGTGGAAATGCCACCACCAGCACTTGATGCCACCTCAGTGATGCCTTCATTCCCAGCCCACAGAGCATTTGCCAACACCTGGGATATCTCCATGC